TATGCAAATAAGTTATGCTAATGAGTTATGCTAATGTGCTCCTGCACCTCTTTTTCTACGAAATGACCCCTGGCTCTTCTGATGTTCTTATTATGTGCAGGCCTCCAGAGTAACTGGCTGGCCACTGTATGAGACAGGGTGCTGGACTAGATGGACCAGTGGTCTGATCCAGCAGGGCTCTTCTGAGGTTCTTCTCAGGGGAAGGCCTCAGTCTCTATGCCCTGGTGTTGGACTTCTAGAGGAACTGGTTGGCCACTGTGTGAGACAGGATGCTGGACTAGATGGACCTCTGCTCTGATCCAGCAGGGCTCTTCTGATGTTCTGACTGCAAGATAATTCTCTGAAACGGATTCCCACTCCCTTCCAAGTTTGTTTTTTAAGTGGATGTTCTGGAGAAATTGTTTATTTCTGCAATCTGCTATGCAGCCAAAAGTACAAGATCAGGCTATGCTGCATCTGATGTATTTCACATGCCGATCTAATGTGTTTCACACGAGAGGCATGCAAAACAAGAGTTCAGAAGACTGTGTTCAAGCAGCAATTCTACTTACGGGAGCTGTGCTGTCTGGTTTGGCTCCTGACACTTTAACCACAGCTGTCGTCTTAGAAGGTTCCAGTCTTGCTTCGGAACTAGCTCTTGTTTGCCCGGAGAACAGATAATCCGGCGGGGGAAGCACCACGCCACCTCTGTCCGACAAGTTGACTGAGCTGATGCTTCGGACAGGTGCAGGACTAGAGAACGGGGGGGAAATCGTTATGGATCTACCAAGGAGAGGAAAATTGTTCACTGTTTATTTGTTTCCTTCAGTTATACCCCACCTTTCTCTCCAATGGGGGCCCGAAGTTGCTTACATCATTCTCCTCTCCTCCATTTTATACTCACAATAACCCTGCAAGGTAGGTTGGGCTCAGACGGGCCCAAGGTCACTCAGCAAGCTTCCATGGTGAAGTGGTGATTTGTGTTTCCCAGATACTAATCTTAACCCTCTTAAATCACTGCACCACACTGGCTCTGTGTGAATCTCCATTCCATTTCTTTTTTTTTTCTTTCTTTTTTTTACTTTTGGGGGTCCGGGCAGTGGGACTGGTTGGTCCTATTGGTTTTGACAGACAGGTCCCCCTCCCCTCTGGGAACGATATTTTCCCCAAGAGGAAGGAAGACCGCATTCCCTTTGGACAGGTGAATACAAAACTGCGGCGGTCCAGGGATGCCAGTAACAAAGGTGGCAGATGTGAAAACAGAGCATTGATCTGTCGAGGTGAGAATCTCTACTCAAGTCTTTCTCATCACCCACTGCCTGGTCCTTTTTAACTGGAGATGCCGGGGCTTGAACCTGGGACCTTCCGCGTGACAAGCAGAGGCAGAGCCACACCTCCTCTACAGGAGTCTTGAGGCCCTTCAAAGACCAACACCATTTTATTTCATTATCAGGCTAGAGCCCTTTCCTTTAGAGTTACCTGCTACCCCCTCTGGAATTATTCACTGTGCAGAATCCTTGGCGTTTTGCAGTTTTGGCCCCAGCCAGTGCGTTTCTTTGCAGCGCGGAATGCGTATGCGCTGCTTCACACACGGACATAAAAGCAGAGCCTACCACATATAGCAGAGGTTCCCAAACTTTTACTGGCTATCACCCCTTTGGTTCCATAAGCTCATCCCCAGGGCCCCCTACCAATGCTCCCTCTAAGCTGTGGAGTCTTGTGAGCAGAAATTCTACTTTGTGAGCTACTGGCATTAGAGTTGTGAGTGAGCCATTTGGCTGCTGCGTAAATTAGTTTGCTCTGGAGCCATCCTTCCTGAGCTGAGACAAAAAAATCTGTGAGCCAGAGGCTAAAAAACTGTGAGAGCTGGCTCACACTAACTCAGCTTAGCGGGAACATTGCCCCCTACCCTACCCTGCCTGAGAAAAAAAGAATAATTCAGAACAGCAGTTTGCACAACCCACAAAGGAAAACAATAAAATTCAAAACAGAAAGAATTAATTTCACATTTATTCAAAAGCCAATAATTTTAATTTTTTTTTAGTTTAATTGATTCAACAAAATTGGTGAACTTGATCCAGGGATACCAGCTTTTCAAAGGTTGGGAAAAAAACCCTGAGAGTTTCCACCAGATTTCACCACTACACACACGTGGAAACTGGGAGTGCCATTTGCCAGCATGGTGCCATAGCCTGATCGATCGTAAGTAAGTGAACAACACCGACGTCAAAGGGATTTAACTCCAGAGATCCCCCTGCTGTCCTCTTGCCTCTTTAGTGGCCCCCTAGGTAATCCCACTGCCCCCTGGGGGTGGTACCACCAGGGGTCATTTCCTGCAGGAGCGCGCAGGAGCGGAGCTCCGGCAGTAAAGAGCCCAGGGGGCGGGCCCCACCCCCTGCTCCCAGCAGCCCCGGGCTACAAGGAACAAGAAGCAGCCAGGTAAGTTGCAGAGCCCCCCCTCAGATAGCAATCCAAAGGAGTCCAGTGGCACCTTTAAGGCCAAGGTTTATTCAGGTACAAGCTCTCCCTCCTCTGTGAGAGCAAATCTGCACGTCCCCCCCATAGCTAGCAATCCAAAACAGTCCAGTGGAGACTGAGCGGTGAGTGTTGACTTCTGATACACGTCCGGTGATGTCAGGGGTGTGTGACATATGCAAATGATATGCTAATGAGTTGTGCTAATGAGCTCCTGCACCTCTTTTTTTACGAAATGACCCCTGGGTACCGCCCACTTTGGGAACCAATGACCTACAGTTTTACACAAGGAGATATGAATGAGGACATCTTTGACTCACTTCTATGCATCAGGGTAGGTGCTCAGTAGCCTCCCAACTCCCAGATGGGAAATACCTGGAGCCCGGGGACGGTGGGGTTTGGGGAGGGACCTCAGCAGGGTATAAGGCCACAGAGCACATTGGCCAAAGCAGTCAGTTTCTATAGGAGAATGGCTCTCTGTAGCCTGGAGAGCAGTTGTGATTCTGGGAAAACTCCAGGCCCCACCTGGATATTCAACAAATACACGGGAAACACGGCAAGGTTGAGTAAATGTGGAAAAACATGAGAACCGGAGAAGACTTCTACAGAGTTGTTTGACTTGTGCATTGTAGCATTGTGAGCTTTGGTTCCAGGAAAAATAATTTGCCTGAAGAAGAATTTCTCGAAACACGGAACTTTTGCCTAGGAGGCGTGTTTGCTTTGATTCTTGCTGCATCTCTTTTCAGAATGCAAAACAGCCGACGACATTGGCATTGACGACTGCTTCATCTTTCCTCAGAAAGCAAGATAGTCTACAGCACTGAATCCTGCCTGCATATTCGTCTCTGTGGCTGTGGACTTTTCTACAAGATATATATTGTTCTTTAGGTTTTTGTTATCAGTGTACTATGATTAATAAGATACACTAGGGTCTTTATTGTATATTTAAGTATATGATTTAAACGACTATATGAAGGCAAAGCAGCATATCAGAATTGTGTGTTTTGTTTTAACAAGGTGTTTTTCCACATTTACCCCACCTGGATACTGGCAACCCCACGTGTAGCATTTGCATTCGGTGATCTGGAGCACTTCTGTTTAGCATAGGGGCAGTTGTACTGGTTTCAAATGGGACTATGCAAGATTGGGGGGGAGCGGGAAAGTATGAGTGATGAACTATGAAAAGGTGGGATAACAAAAAAAAAGAATATTGGCGAACTAAGGCCACGTTGACGATTTATAGACTATCCCGAAGGAAGCTCGTCAGCTTTTAAGCTTTCATTTTAAAAACCACCATCTTGAAAACGTACAGGTCTTACACAAATTCAAATTGAAATAACATTACCTTGGGACTGGCGCACGCACTGTCTCTTCCACTGGCTCTTCGAATGGCTTTGTGTAAGATGAAGGGAACCAGCCTTTCCTAGAATAGGAAATAGTAACAAAACTTTAATTCATATAGTTATTTAATTTATATTATATAGTTAATATATAACCACTGAGCGGTGGCTTCGAGACCCGAGTGCCGCGTGACGGAGTGAGCTCTCATCTCTGGTTCCAGCTCCTGCCAACCTAGCAGTTCGAAAGCAAGAAATTGCAAGTAGATAAATAGGCACCATTTTGGTGGGAAGGTAACAGCGTTCCGTGCACCTCAGCGTCTAATGCCAGCCACATGACCACGGAAACGTCTTCGGACAGCGCTGGCTCTTCGGCTTGGAAATGGAGATGAGCACCGCAACCCTAGAGTCGGATTCGACTGGCTTTCGAGCAAGGGAAACCTTTACCTCTTTATAGTTAATTTATATAGTTATACAATTTAATTTATATAGTTAAACTTTAATTTATATAATATTTCTCACCCCAGCTGTGACCCAAAGCAGCTCACAGCATTGTTCCCCCCCTCCTCTCTTCTAGCTTCACAACAACCACTGTGTGAGGTAGGTTAGGCTGAGACAACATAAAACAGAGAGAAAACTGAGATGTTGCTGCCTTGTGGAAACTAAAGGGGTGTGTGTGTCTGGGTCTAGGGTCCTGGGTGAGGTTGCCAGCCTAGTGTATCTTCTACAAAGGCAGAATGCCCTAAGGAGGCAGAATCTGTCAATTAAGACGCAGGTCTGTCATACAGCCGGCTGGCAGCAATTACTGGCTTTAGATATGTATAAGTGAGAAGGAAGAGTGGGATTTACATCACACTAATGGATTTGATGAATGTTGCAATGAGATATGACTAGAGTGTTTGCCCAAATGGATTAAAATTGTAAGTATATTATATAACAGCCAGTAGTATGTACAGCCTTGCGTTACTCTTTTTGCTAATACTGATAATATAAATTTTAAGGACTCTTTTTGTGGCAGGGACTCCTTTGCATATTAAGCGACACCCCTCTAATATTAGGCGACACCCCTCTAATGTAGCCAATCCTCCAAGAGCTTACAGAGCTCTTCTTACAGGGGCTACTGTAAGCTCTTGGAGGATTGGCTACATTAGGGGTGTGTCGTCTAATATGCAAAGGAGTCCCTGCCACAAAAGGAGCCCCTGGATATAGGTATTTCAACGCTACCCACTTTGATAAAGTTCTACACGAAACAAGACATTATATGCATGGTTCGTTGGTGCTGATGGCATTTGAAGTGCTTCCAGTAAACTGAATATTGGTAAAAGAATTTATAAGTCTGTGAAGAACTTTCTTTTTTGGCACAATACATCACGGTTGTTTGCTTCCTTTCAGCTTCCATCCCGTGATCTCTCTCTTTGGTTTGCACCACCTAGAGGTTGGCAACTTTAGTCCTGGGCCTGGATGGGAGACTTCCTGGCAGTCCTTCACCTGTCTCCCCCCCCTTTTTTTTTTGAGATCCATGACAGAAGAAAGGCAGGGAGGGCAGAAATGAACTACAGAACAGTTAGTGATAAACACTAGCTATCAGAAGAAGAAAAAGAAGAAGAAGAGATGGGATTTATACCCCGCCCTTCACTACCTGAAGGAGTCTCAAGAGTGGTTTACAATCTCCTTTCCCTTCCCCCCCCCCACAACAGACACCCCATAAGGTAGATGGGGCTGAGAGAGCTCTTTCAAGGACTGCCTATGAGAGAACAGCTCCGAAAGAACTTGTGACTGACCCAAGGTCACACCTGCAGCTGCATGTGGAGGAGTGGGGAATCAAACCCGGTTCTCCCAGATTAGAGTCTGCAATCTTAACCACTGTACCAAACCTAAAGTTTGTCAGTCAGCACTCCAATCCTTTCATACTCTTTGTTCTTATCTTGGGATCAGGGGATGCTTCCGACAACTCACACTTTGGTCACGTCGTGTTCTCCGTATAGCCAACCGTCCCTTTCCTCCGACACCAGGAGCGTGATGGTGTCGCCCTGCGCAAAGCTGAGCAAGGTTTTGTTACTCCCGGCGGTGTGTGGGAAGATGGTTTTGACTTTCTGCCTTTTCATTATGTTGAGGCCCGTGGCGACGGATGTGGATCGTGATAAACTGGAATCGTCCACGTGATCTGATTTTAAAACAAACACAGGACGGCACATATACACACCATATGACACTGTGTCGGGTCAAGGGACTGTCATGTGAAACAGAACCAGATACTAAGGAGACAAAGAAACGAGTAGCTGTCTTGAAACCTTTTCGGGTTTTTTGTTCGCCAAGCAATCTGCAGCGCCACCCTAAGCTGGACAGCTAGATTTGAGTCAGCAGAACCTTAGGAACTGACAAGAATTTCAGGGCAGAAGTTTTTGAGTGTTGAAGCTCCCGTCCCTGAAAACCTTGATGGTCTCGAAGGTTCTACTGGACTCAGATTTAACTGTCCTATGGGAGACCAACAAGGATGCCCCCTGAAACTATCCTAAGTGAAACAAATTTAAACCTTTGCTGGTCTTCAAGGTGCCACTCTGGACTCTACATTTGTTCTACTGCTTCAGACCAACACGCCTGACCACCTGGATCTATCTTATGTTGAGTTATATTCTTCTACGCCAAGGGGTTTAGAAGGGAGTAACTCTGTTCAGAAGGGCACTGTTGGTCTCTGCATATTATCAACTAGTGTTTACATCTCAGATGCAGTCATGTCTTTCACACACACACACACAAACACACACACACACACACACACACAGATTCAGGTGGGGTCACCATGTTGGCCTGAAGCAATAAAACAAAGTTAGCATCCAGTGGCACCTTTTAAGGCCGACAAAGTTTAATTCTAGGTATAAGCTTTCATGAGCGTGCACACTTCTTCCATTACCTGAAGAAGTAAAGTAAAGGGTAAAGGTTTCCCTTGCTCGAAAGCCAGTCGAATCTGACTCTAGGGGGCGGTGCTCATCTCATGTCCGAAGACTTTCTCTGTGGTCATGTGGCCAGCATGACTGAACGCTGAGGTGCACAGAAACGCTGTGACCTTCCCACTGAAGCGGTACTTACTTATCTACTTGCAATTTCTTGCTTTCGGACTGCTAGGTTGGCAGGAGCTGGGGCTCACTCCGTCACGCGGCACTCGAGTCTCGAACTGCTGAGCTACTGATCTTCCGGTCTGCAACTCAGCGTCTTAACCTCTGAGCCACCGCGGCCCCCTAACTGAAGAAGCACACGAAAGCTTATGCCCAGAATTGAACTGTGTTGGCCTTAAAGATGCCACTGGACTCAGACTTTGTTTTATTGCTTCAGGCCAACACGGCAACCCCACCTGAATCTTTCTTTGATTTTTTTGGTGTGCAACCCCACCTGAATCTTTCTTTGATTTTTCTGGTATGTGTGTGTGTTCACACACTTTGTTCACACACAATCCAAGTATCTAGATTTGAGTCTGTCATGATCTGGGCTGTGCCACCAGAGGCGTACTAGGCCCAGGGAGCCTGGCTAGCAGTAGGTGAGGCTGGGCCTACAACTCCCAGAAGCCTCTGAGAGGTTTTGGGGACAAAATTGACCAATAGGAAAAGAGGAGGGCTTGGAATAAAAGATCTGGAGCAGCAGGAAAAGCTGTTCTTCTTCCCAGAGGGCAGAGCCAGAAGGAAGGCTGCTGCAGGGAAGAGACCCTCATCCTGAGGGAAGGCTAAGTAGTCTAAGGCCACTTCAGATAGTGAGCTAGGGACAGTATATTTAGACGCATAGGGCATTTGATTTCTTTTCTTTTCACCCACTTACTGTTATTCTGCACCTTGTTGTTTGACCTCCTATAAAACAAACCTTTTCCTTGTTTCAGTCTGCCTGGTCCTCACGCCTATTATTCAGCCAAAAGAGAGGTCTGAAGGTCTTGGGAGGGTGCTCTGGGCCTTCTCAAGGGATCCTAATTCCAGAGTGGTGGCAGCGTCAGGTGACACCCCACCTGAGCCGTGACAGAATCTAGTAGCTTCTTAGAGACCAACAAGATTTTCGGGGTATGAGCTTCAGAGAGTCAGTGCTCTTATATCTGGCGAAGGGAGTCTTGAAAGCTCAATACCCTGAAAATCTTGTTAGGTCTCTCAGGTGCTGCGGAACTCAAATCTAACTTTTGAAAGCTCAATACCCTGAAAATCTTGTTCGGTCTCTCAGGTGCTGTGGAACTCAAATCTACTGCACACCAAAACGGCTAACCCTCTGAAACGACATTCAAAACACACACTTCTTGTGAGCTGCATTCTGTGTCTGGACTGCTCCCTACTAAAACAAACCCCCATATGTAGAAAATCAGGTGTCAGGAAAACCTAACAGGCAAGATTTCTATGTGCAGGGATTTGGTCACGGTGTGTGTGTGTCTAAATGGACATCCAGTCTTGCAAGATCTGCAGTCCTGAAGTGGTGCAGGTACCCCGTTATCTCGGAGGTAGTTCTGGAGAATGAAGCCAAAGTCGGCAAGACTTCACGCGCTCCTTCAGAAGGAAGAGAACGAGGCCGGGTCAAATGGCTTTTGGAAGCCCCTTTCAAACCTCAGCTAATTAGCATCTCGTTTGAACAAACTCCGGAATGAGACACCTCTGGGGCACACACTCTTGCCACAAACTATTTTCACTGTCTCTATACCTACAGCGGTCATTAAGTTTCGACTCATAAATGCCACAGATGCTTTGGGCATGAATACCCTCCTTTGTCCCTGGCTTCTGGAATTCCTCAGAGAGCTTTAGTCGGAGATAACTGTTTTACGATTCCCGGGGACTTGGCCCTACATCATTAGTGCCTAGTAGTTTTGTAACACACACGCGCATGCACACGCACACACACTGACAAACACAGCCTTACTTGTTGAATGATTTAATCTCTCCGATGATGCCTTTGGAACAGCTGCCGGGTTGTTAAACATATCGACTAAGGGACTGGTATAGGCTCTGACGGTCGGAGCCGGGGGCACGCGGGGAGAATTCCTGTGGAGTGAGTCGTAATCTTTTCCCACCTACCAACACACACACACAAAAATCCTTAAGCATCATTGCGGCGGAATAATACTTCAGGGCAACAGGTTCAACGGTTCTCTTCACGTATGCAAACCCTAGCCGGTTGAAGAATATTCTTTTGTTTCCCTTGAACAAGGACAATGGCTGACATTTTAAAAACTTTATCTTCCTTATTAAAACGTTCATTAGCTGCCTTTCTACCTTGCGGAACTTGAGGAGGCTTAAAATGTAAATAAGGAACAGTTATTAAAAATACGTAAAAAGACCATGATTTAAAATCACAATGAGGACTGCCAATAGTTTTAAAAAAAACTAAAGTAGTCAAACGCATTCCTAAATACAACCGTCTTCAACTGCTTCCTAAAGATCTAAAATTTGGTGTCGTGGTTAAATGAGCGGACTCTGGGAGAACTGGGTTTGATTCCCCACTCTTCCACTTGCACCTGCTGGGTGGCCTTGGGCAAGCCATAGTTCTGTCAGAGCTGTTCTTGAAAAAGAGCAGTTTCTGTCAGAGCTGTCTCACAGGGTGTCTGTTGTGGGGAGGGGAAGGGAATGGAGTTTGTCAGCTACTCTGAGATTCCTTTGGGTAGTGAATGGGTATAAATCCAATCGTCTCCTCCTCCTCCTCCTCCTTCTTCTGTGTGTGTGTGGGGGGTCAGGCTCACCTCCTTGTGGAGGTTCCTCCATTTTGGATGCTAATATGGTCGCCAGCCTCTGGGTGGTGGCTGGAGATCTCCTGGGATTACAACCCGTTTCCAGGTGACAGAGATCAGTTCCCCTGGAGTACATGGCCGCTTTGGAAGTTGGGCTCCGTGGCATCGTCCCCCACTGAAGTCTCTCCCTTCCCTAAACCCTGCACTCCTTAGGCTCCTCCCCCCGCCAAATTTCCAGGTATTTCCCAACCTGGATGCTCTTTGGCTCTTCCTTTACTGAGCAGAGCCGCCACTTTTTTTACATTTTGGTCGTCTGTGACACTGAGGCTGCTACGATGGTTTAACTTTTCATGTAAATCTCTTTAGGAATGCTCGGGTAGAGCAGCAGTACACAAACATCGGGAACGTTAAAAACAATAATTCTGTGAGTAGGAATGCACAGCTATCAGAAGGGGGTGTTTGTTTCAGACCCGAAGCCCCAAACCTAAACTGTGACATGGGGAATATCTTTGCTCCCCCCCCCCACAGCCCTCTAAGTTAACCATTTTTGCCTCGCTCGAAAAGAAAATGGGTGATTGGTCGGGACCGCTTTTCTCTCCTCACCATGCTGTTCCTCTCAATCATCGGCGAAGGCATCGGAGTTCCCGAGACCGGAGTGGAGACAGGTGTCTTTATCTCTTCTATCATAGTCATGATTTTCTCTGGTACTTTGGTGGCATCGCTGCACGTCTCCAGCCACCTGGGCAGCTTGGCGTCCAATAAGTCTGTACACTATCAACACCGTACAAATCGAGTTAGGGAGGGTGTATGCCTTTTTGGATTCAATCTTTTTTTTTTTTAAAGGGCAGTGGGCTATGTAATGATTTCATGTTTTTTTTTGTGTGTTTCTTTATATGTTTAGTTTGACTGCAGTACTGTAAGAAGAGTGATAGAGGGAGACAAGTGTGATGTGATTGGCTGATGACTGAGAGTGTGGGAGGAGAGATGTTGATGAGAGGGATTCTGTGTGTCAAATTTGAAGAGAGAGCATAGTCTGTGTGACTATGGGAGTTTTTGAGTCTATTCTGTGTGAATAAGACAAAACAGTTTAGTCTGTGTGAATATGAGTTTTGAGTCTATTCTATGTGAATAAGACAAAGAGTTCAGCCTGTCTGGCTATATAGATGAGAGAGTGAGAGATTAGACTGAGTGTCCACGCCAGTCAGAGTGGAGTTTTGAGAGTTTGAGAGGCTGTTTGTGACACCAAACTTTGCCAGTTATATTTACAAGTTCCTTTCATCAGCAAGATTTCAAAATAACCAGAAACCTATTTTGTTCTTTATTAAATAAATCATTTTTTGTTTTAACTTATTCCAGAAATCAGGATAGTCCTTCTTCAGGGCTACATAGTCCTCTGAAGTGCCCAGACCCTGGGTCATTCTATCAAAAGAGAGAGATCTGGAATTTTTAATTCCTGGTGGCAGCAGAAATCTACCAAGTTTCGGTACACAGAGGGTGGTTTAAAGGTAAAACCGTCTCCCCTATAAGCAAGGACGTCACAGGCTAGATTGAGGACTTTTTAGACCAGGGATGCCAGCCTCCGGGGGGGCCTAGGGGTTTCCCGGAATTACAGCTCGTCTCCAGACTACAGAGATTAATTTCCCCTGGAGGAGATGGATGCTTTGGCGGGTGGACTCTGTGTGTGGCACTGTACCCTACTGAGGCCCCTCCCCTCTCCAGGCTCCACCCCCATATCTCCCAAAGTTTCTCGCCCCGGAACTGGCAGCTCTACCGCTCCACCACGAGGCTGGTGGCCAGGGAGGACCTGGTAACCCTGATGCGGACACAGAAGGAACAAGGCGCAGAGGCTCAACAGTTCCTGCTGGCAGGAAAACATGACGTAATGTGGCACTGACACGCATGTTGTTTAGCAAAGCATGCTCGAGAAACCCAATCACAGAAATCTAATGATGTACGGAAACCTCCTTCATACAGGAAGAAACAAAAACATCACATGGAACATGTGAACAGTCACAAGGGGGAGCTCCTGCTACAAAAAGAGTCCTGCCCTGCTCAACAGTTCCTGCTAGCAGGAAAACATGACGTAATGTGGTACCGACACGCATGTTGTTCACGCTCGAGAAACCCAATCACAGAAATCTAATGATGTACGGAAACCTCCTTCATACAGGAAGAAACAAAAACATCACATGGAACATGTGAACAGTCACAAGGGACAATTAACTGCAACGGTCTAACATTCAGGTGTGGCAGCCGTGTTGGTCTGAAGGAACAGAACAACGTTTGAGTCCAGCGGCACCTTGAAGACCAGCAAAGTTTAATTCTGGGGATAAGCTTCTGTGTGTGTTCACGTGAAACCTTATGCCCAGAATTAAACTTTGTTGATCTTAAAGGTACCACCAGACTCAAGGTTTGGTCTAACGTGTTGTGGTTTGAAGGTTGGCTCATCGGCCGGGTTGTTCGAGGTTTCAAAAAGGTTTTACGTCCTGAATTTTGATCAGCGGAGCCCAAAATATGGCCTTTTCAAAGCCTCATCTATGGCTGTATTCAGACGCCATGAGAAGCCCCATTTAAAACACCAATTAAATTCTGAACAGGCACAAGCACAGTTTGAGATGGCACTCCCAAGTGTCCCCTTTCTCCTCTCGCATCCCCTTTGTACGCGGGAGAAGACTTTCCCTGCTTTGCTCAATCTCCGATTCAGAGTGGCGACCAAACGCAGGTGGCATGCTGAATTGCGTCTTGTTTGTCCCCTCACAAGCTGGGATTCTATACCGGGACCGAACAGAGGTTCAGAATTCTGGCTTGTGGGCAGCGAAACAAGCGGCGATTCAGCAAGGGCCCTGCAGTTTGGATGTCGTGGCGAATGGGAATTTCAACCAACAGGAAAGTCCTCTGTGTGCAAAGGAGGAGGAGGAGGTGACCCTTGCAAACGTTATGACAGATGGCACCATCTGTTCGACCAGAGTTGGACTAGAGTTAAGTTGGAGATGGCTGTGATGTTCTGGGAAACTGCAGCTTCCCCCCAAAACCAGGCTCTCGTTCTTCCGGGCAGTTTCATGCTTCTTCACTCTCATACGCACCGATATGTGGTAATTCTTCATGTGCTGGGCAAAACTGCAGTGCTTGTCCACCAGGAAACAGAATCTTTTTTTCTCTTCCAGTAGAGCCTCTCTACAACCTTCGGCAATAAATTTCTGAATATCGTTCTGGCGGGAGCTCACCGTTTCCAAATACTAAATACGAATATTAAAGAAGAGATTAAGGTAGGGAGGGGGGGAAAACCCTTGATACATTTAATTCTTCATGCATAGCTCGTATCTAATGGCAACCACCATGCCTTATATCCGAGAATAATCCTTCGTTCTTAACCAGGACTTAAGAAATAACACTGCCTGCCCCCTAATCTAGTTTAAGACATTCCAGTCAGAGTAATGTGCACTCTGGCTCAAGGGAATGTTTAAAAAGGTACTGCTTCACGGGGACAACTACGAAGCTTGCGCTCAATGCATAGGGTTCCCACTTGCTCGCTTATGGCCATTGCCCACTAACGTTCACCTATTGGCAGGCGGAAACTGAGGCTAAACCAAGGAAGGGGGGAATTGTCCTGGGGGGAAAAATTAAAAAGAAATATAAGGCCTTGTATACTTACAGGAAGTTCTGACCATAGAGTTTCTGGTGATTCCTAGAGCTACCCGTTGCCACTTCCAGGTAGCTCTGGGAATCTCCCGGAACTCTACAGTCAGAACTTCATGTAAGTAAAGGCTTTATTTTTCTTCTCAATTTTTCTCCCGGGATGCTGCCCACCCAACCCGAAACCCGCCTCTCAATTGCCAGGCACTTCCTGGCAACCTTATCAATCCAGACGGAGGAATGCTTAAATACCAGGGTCCATGCTCACATCACAGAAGGAGTGTGTACGCTTTTTTTAAAAAAAACACGTGTTTTCCAACAGATGTGAATTGTCAAGCTAACCCTCCCACATTCTTGGACATAAGGGGGGGGGTAAGTATCTCAAGGTAGAGCTCTCACCTCTGTTTCTCTGTGCTCATATTTTGTGGCATTCCTCCCTCCTTGACTTTTCCTTCGGATCTTCTTCAGCTCCGCCTGAGATTTTTCCAAAGAATCCAGCTTGTATCGGTGTTCGTTTTGGTATCTCTTCAAAGTAGCCTGCGGAATCAAAGAGTTCCAGAAGTGCCTTTTATATGCTTCCCGGCAATGCTGGAAATGCACCCTAGTTATTCTATTTTCCATATCGAGACACACTCCACCGCTGGCGGGGTTACGAAAGGTTCGATGCAAGGTGGGCCTGCAAATGGGCAAAATCAACTGCCCGTACGTGTGCTTTCTCTGTTGTGCCTCCCGCTTTGTGGGACGGGCTGCCAGAGGAGGCCAGGACCGCTCCCATTCTCCTGCCTTTCTGCAAACGATGCAAAACTGAACTATTCAAAAGGGCTTTTCTGCGCAGGTGACAGGGTGGCACTGCACAAAATGGTTTTGACAAACTCATTTGGGTAAATGATTAAGGACAGTGCTCTACACTGCTGCACTGAGCTTATTGTAAGGTAGGTGGGGCTGAGAGAGCTCTGACAGAAACTGCTCTTTTTCAAGAACAGCTGTGCCAGAACTATGGCTTGCCCAAGGTCATCCATCAGGTGCAAGTGGAGGAGTGGGGAATCAAACCTGGTTCTCCCAGATTAGAGTCGGCACACTTAACCACTACACCAAATCTCATGTGAATACTTCTGCTATGTTTCAGTTCTTTCTGGTGGTTCCAGACATTTAAAATCCTGATGCGCTAGTTATTGACTGTCCCGTTTTATCGATTGTACTGGCTTCACTCTGTGTAATTGGCCTTGAGTCCCCGTGAGAAAGGCGGACTATCAATAACGTAGAAAATAAAATAAATACAAATTATCAACACTTGCTTTAACCAGAAACTTGCTATGAAGAAAAATTTGGTGTGTTTCCACACTATCGAAAGGTAACCGACCACCCAAGCTTCTAAGGTAACTGACCACCCAAGAGCCAGTTTGGGGTAGTGGTTAAGTGTTTGGACTCTAATCTGGGAGAACTGGGTTTGATTCCTCACTCCTCCACTTGCACCTGGTTGGATGACCTTGGGCAAGCCATAGTTTTGGCACAGCTGTTCTTGAAAAAGAGCAGTTTCGGTCAGAGCTCTCTCAGCCCCACCTACCTCACAGGGTGTCTGTTGTGGGGAGGGGAAGGGAAAGGAGATTGTAAGCTGCTCTGAGACTCCTTTGGGTAGTGAAGGGCGGGGCATAAATCCAGTCTCCTCTTCTTCTTCTAAAGGCCACCACATTTGTTTCAGCAGAAGGATAGCGCCATGCAGACAGAGAGTTCAAGATTGGGGAACAAACAATATATTTTCAATAGTTTTTAAGACCGCTGAGTGGCCCTTTCAGTTACATACACACCCATACATGGCCATCGTTCTTCAGTGCTGCAAACCAACATACTTACGTTCATGTACTTGACATCCAGTTCTGTCTTCTTCTCCAGCTCAGAAATAATCTCTTTGTGGAATTTCTTGAACTTAAGGAGTAAACAGAAGACAGCACAGTCGTAAGAACATAAGAGAAGCTATGCTGGATCAGGCCAATGGCCCACCCAGCCCAACACTCTGTGTCACACAGTAGCCAAAACCCAGTAGGAGGTCCACCAGTGGGGCCAGTCAGAGATTTTAGCATGCACACACAGGGGTCGTTTGGGGCTGGAGCGCACTGGAGCGCTGCTCCGGCAGCCCAGGAGTGGGCACAAATGGCGGTGGCGGCAAGCCCCGCCCCCAGCTCCCCCTCCCGCGCTCCTTTTTTCTACAGTTGCGCAGCAGCAGTGGCACAATCTTTCTATTATATTCTATGAAAGATCGTGCCGCCGCCGCTGCGCAACTGCAGAGCAGGGAACTGAATGCCTCCCCGCTTTCTCACCAGGAGAGGGGGGGGGGCTCCAGAAGTGTTCCTCGGCTCACCTGCTTGGGCAAGCGAGCTGAGGAAGGCACGGGGAGGTATTTAAATGTCTCCCCACTCTCTCTCCGGCCCTTCCTGGCCTGCCCGCTGAGGCAGGCGAGCCAGGAGAGGGCCAGGGGGGGCTCCAGAAGCCTTCCTTGGCTTGTCCAGGGAACTGCACCTGTATTATGTCTGGAGATAGCCTGGTTCTCAGGGAATGAGCGCGCAACCGTTTCCTTTCACCCGCCAGCGGGAAAGTGACCCATTGGTCCTGTACCTGGCTCAAATCCCTTTATCTTGTTTGCCCTAACCGTTTGTAGTCAGTTCTAACAAAGAACGTGTTTGAGTGTCTTTCCAAAGCTTTGAAATAAATTTTGCTTTTCTTCAAAACGTGGATTTATTCTCGATGCTTGGGGATCCAACAATAATGGAAGTGGCGGCGTGACTTCGCTCCCCCTCCCCAGCCCGCCTTGGCAGGCCAGCTGGGGAAGGGGAGGCTTTTGAAGATGCCTCTCCCCCTTTTTGCTTCCCCTTCTGACATCACTTCCGGTGATGTCATGGGGCGTGACATATGCTAATGAGCCATTATGCTAACAGCCTATTAGAGATGCTAATGAGCTCCTGCAGCTCTTTTTCTACGAAATGACCCCTGTGCACACATGAACTGTTGGAATATCACAAAAAAAATGCTGACTTACACTTTCATCTAGGCTGTCGTTGAGTTTTTTCTGGGCTATGGAAATTTCTATGAGAACGTGACCTGTTGACACAGACAAATCCACATAATTTGTTAATTCACAAAGTCATATTTTTCTGCATGCCTGGAGAGTATCCCAAGTATAAAACAAGCAAACACCCTCTCATCTTGTCTGGTGGGTGGCCTGGTTTTTATGCGTCCAGGATTGGCAGGGAGAGGGCAGCAGCTTTGCTACTAGACATTCCCTTCGCGACCCTCTTCTTCATGCATTATAACTACAGTCCTTGGATATTATTTAAGCAGATTATGGAGAGGATCTCTCCTAGTGTCCTTCCAGTTCTTCCATTTTTAGCTTCTCTTGCAATTGTGCTGTGAAGATGAGATTATACCACAGCTTGGGGGCTAGGGTTGCCAGCCTCCAGGTGGGACCTGTAGGTATCCCAGAATCACAACTGCTCTCCAGAGTACATAGATCTGTTCCCTTGGAGAAAATGGCTGCATTGGAGGGTGAACTCTATGGCATTCTATCCCACTGAGGTTCCTCCCCAAACCCCACTCTCCTCTACCCCCAAATCTCCAGGATTTCACCAACCTGGAGTTGGCAACCATAGGTATAGCCCTACTGTTAATTCTTCTTGGGGCTTACGCTCAAATAAACTTTGGGGCAGGATAGTAATCTATCTGCAGTTTGTCAGCCTGATTTGAAATTACAGTTTCCTGCTTCAAGTTGGGAAATACCCAGAGATTTTGGGGGTGGACCCAGGAGAGGGTGGGGTTTGCAGAGGGGAGGGACCTCAGCAGGGTACGATACCATAGAGTATCTGAAGCAGCCCTTTTCTCCAGAGGAACTGATCTCTATTGTCTTGCAGATCAGATGTAATAGTGGGAGATCTCCAGGCCCCACCTGGAGGCTGGCAACCCTATTTGAAATGGATACTTGAAAACACAAGGAAGCAATAAAAGGAAGCCCGGTTTACAATGCACAAACGTGGATTGGTTCTTTTAAAATGCCAGGGTAGAGAAGAGCAAAGTTCAGAACAAAAGTACAGGTATTTCTAAGAACGTTTCTCTCCCCCCCCCATCCCGCCAAAAAGGCCTGTTCACACAGTATATGCTTTTTACAGTCTGCTGCCCCGCCAACACACACGACTGGCAATTGGCACCGGGGCAAAGATTAATGCGGCAAAATCTGGAACTCGAAGTACGGACAGTCGGCCAAGGAACTTGTGTGCTGGCTCAGCCCTCTCCCCGCCCTGGCACACTCCCTTTCCTCTGGCTCCTTCTCGGCGCCCGAGTGAAAACGTCCGAGTCAAGCGACTCATGCACCTGATGGGCCCAGCCTCGGAAAACCTGAGTCGCAGAGGTCTACTCATGCTCGTCTGGGGCAATGTTTGGCCCCAGTGGAGCTCTCTGGGCAAGAGGGTGTGACCGCCGTTCCCGGAAAAGCAACACCCCCCCAACCTCAAAACAATTGTACAGGACCAATACTGTACTGGGAAATGAATCCAAATGTTCAAGACTACAGTTCCATATGCAAGCTTCCTCGCCCCCCCCTTCACCTGAGAACACCCCATAACATGCCACCTCGCCTATTTCCTCCTCGAGTTTCAGAGTCAATATTTTGACACTGAAACCATAGCGCTCCTCGCAGCATGCAAATAGTGAGACTGAAACGGTCTTCTTTTTTACATAAATGTCAAGTAGTTCCACTGACAGCAGATTGGAACACTTTTTTTTTTTTTTTTACAAAAATAGGTTTTACTAGGAGATGGACCAGGGCCATGAGGCAGAATCATAGAATAGAATCATAGAATGTTAGAGCTGGAAGGGATCTTGCAGGTCATCTAGTCCAACCCCCTGCACTCTGCAGGAGCATAGCCGAAAGATAGCCCTACAACATACCCGAAAGATGGTCATAGCCTCATTGGCCTTTGCCTCGAAACACAGAGGTTTTTTGCATATGCGACTTGATTGGCTTTTGCCTCTAACGTTCTAAACAGTTTGCTGTTCTGAGGTAAAATGTGTCCCATCTCCAGGTGAGGGCTGGAGATCACTCAGAATTACAACTGCTTTCGAGATGGCAGAGATCAGTTCCCCTGGAGAAAATGGTGGGCTCTGTATCCTTATATGCTGCTGAGGTGGCCCCCGTATGACAGCCAATGTGACGTAGCAGTCAGGGCTTCAGAGCACGGGAGAGGCTGCAGGTGTGTGGGGGGTGGAAAGCTGAAGAATGAGGGGGAAATAAAGGTAGGTTGATGATTGGCTGGGAAGAAGATAGGGTTGCCAACTCCAGGTGGGAAATTCCTGGAGATGTGAGGGATGGAGCCTGGAGAGGGTGAGGTTTCAGGAGGCGTGGGACCTCGGACAGGTACTGTTATGCCAACTCCTCCTGGAAATTCCTGGAGACCCAATCCGAGTTATCTACCTCGGGAAAGGGGAGGGTGTGGCTGTGCGTAAGTTCTTAACCAGTTTATACAGAGGTCAGATGGTCAAAGGGGAAACGCTCGCTATTGGTCAGGGAGCCAGACAACACACTATTGGTTAAATCAATGTTGCCTTTACTAAATGGTTCACCTGTCCAGAGCCCCTTTCTAGAGGCCGTTGTATTTATTTCCACAATGGGCCTTTTTCCTGGTCTATCATAAATACCATAAAGTAGGAAGACAGAGGAGGCTTCAGCTAGGATGCCTCTTCTGAACGTAATGCATCTGTTGGAAAGCAAACAACTGCTGTTTTACGCAGAGTTACACCCTTCTGCGTCTACGGACCTGAACAGGGCTCCCCAATGCAGCGCCTGTGGGCGCCATGGTAATAGTGTGGTTTGGCTTGGAGGAACTAAGCTATTCTTCACTGTACTAAGAACGACTGCACCAAAGTTTTAAAACAGGGGTCCCCAATATGGTGCCCGTCAACACCTTTCCTGGCACACAAATGTGATTTAAGACGATAGGCGGGGCCAGGTGGACCTTTTCCCCAGCAAGTCTTCTGATTGGCCACTGGATATTTGATTGCCTGTGCAGATTTTAAAAAAAGGTTGCCATGGCAGTAGCCACCGCAACAGCACAAGGATCTTCACTGTTGACGGAAGGTAAGCTGCGGCAAAACCCATTTAAAAGGGACCATCCCTCTAAATGTGTTTTGTAAGCTGCTGCAAAACACATTTGAAGGTACCGTCCCTCCAAATTGTGTGCAGATTGGCTTTGGGGGGGGGGAGATCCTAGGGTTAGTCCAGTGTGCAAAAGGGGAGGTAGTGTGTCAAACGCCTCCCCTGAAAGCTAGAGGCATCACCTTGGCAGCGGACCTCCCTGGTATGCCCCTCTAGCTGCCCTCCAAGTTGTGTGCAGATTAGCTTTTGGGGGAAGGAGATCCTAAGGTCCATGTGCAAAGGGGTGTGTGTCAAACAGTCCCCCTGCAAGCTAGAGGCATCACACTGGCAGTGAACCTCCCCAGGGTGACTGTAACGATTTCATGTTTTTGTGTGTGTATGTCTTTAAAAGTTTGGTTTATATTGCTGTGTGGGACAATCTAGAATGCTGAAACAGGCAAGTTGTGTGATTGGTGAGTGACAGAGAGGGGGAGGGGTTTTGGAATGGATGCTGTGTGGATGATTTGAATGTCTACCGCAACAGCACAAGGATCTTCACTGTTGACGGAAGGTAAGCTGCGGCAAAACACATTTGAAGGTACCGTCCCTCCAAATTGTGTGCAGATTGGCTTGGGGGGGGGAGATCCTAGGGTTAGTCCAATGTGCAAAAGGGGAGGTAGTGTGTCAAACGTCTCCCCTGAAAGCTAGAGGCATCACCTTGGCAGCGGACCTCCCTGGTATCCCCCTCTAGCTGCCCTCCAAGTTGTGTGCAGATTGGCTTGGGGGGGGGAGATCCTAGGGTTAGTCCAATGTGCAAAAGGGGAGGTAGTGTGTCAAACGTCTCCCCTGAAAGCTAGAGGCATCACACTGGCAGTGGACCTCCCCAGGGTGACCCTCTACCTGCCCTTGAAGTTGTGTGCAGATTGGCTTGGGGAGGGGGAAAATCCTCGGGTCCCTGTGCAAAAGGAGAGGGAGTGTGTCAAACGGACCCCCTGCAAGCTAGAGGCATCAAACTGGCAGCGGACCTGGTAACAGCTTGCAAAATACATTTAAAGGGATGGTCCATTCAAATGCGTTTTGCAGGCCGTGGCGTGAGTGAATCCGGAAGGGTGACTCTTCCAGGTTCACTTGTGTCCGGGCTTGCAAAACGCATTTGAAGGGACTGTCCCCTAAATGTGTTAGGCTTCTCTTGCCCTAGGGTTTAAACCATGGGCCAGGAGAAGCTGGTCCCAGGATCTGCGTGCAGTGGGGGGTCTCTCCCTGCTACATGCAGACCTGGCTGGGAGGCTTCTCCCACAGTTTAAATCGTGGGACAGGAGAAGCTGCGATTCGGTATTGCCGTGCCAAGCAGAATAAAAGCCAAATAATATCTGCTTTTATCGGGATTCTCTATATCAGTAGCTGATTACAGGCTGGAGAATCTGATTCGACTTAGGAAACACCCCCAAAATACCGTTAAGGTATTTTTTGGGTATTTTTTAGCTTGGTAAATACTGAATACACACCCCTATTCTCTGTGTTGGCTTGGAAAAAGTAAGCTATTCTACACTGTACTAAGAATGATAGTACCAAAGTTTTAAAACAGGGGTCCCCTAATATGGTGCCCGCGGGTGCCATGGTGCCTGTTGACACCTTTCATGGCACCTACATGCGATTTTAGACAGTGGGCAGGGCCAAGTTGGGTTTTCACCCAGCAAAGCTTCTGATTGGCCACAGCACAAGGAACTTCCCTATGTGACTGAAGGTAAGCTGCTGCATCCGTTTTGTGACTGTGCCCACCGCACTGTGTCAGAATTCCACAGATGCCCACAGGTGCAAAAAAAGGTTGGGGGCCCCTGTTTTAAAAGAATCCAAACAATAATTTTGTATTGAAGTAAATGCATGGATTTCAAATTAAAGGGGAAAAATACTCCAAACACCATGTACTTTTAGCATGCCTAGCATACTTATACAAAAACTTACTAGACATATGGCATGA